TTTTTTTTTTTAAGATTTATTTATATATACAAGAACTGGGTTCAGGCCAGAGGTGTGGGGGTGAGAGGATTCACCAAAGACAAAGTAGGGAGCAGATTGACTGAAATACACTGCTGAGGGGAGACAGGAGAGGTCTGCTGTGCCATGTGGGTCAGCTCCCTGGTGGGGGAATCCAACTCAGGCCACAGTGGCTGGCCATAGCTTGATAGTGCTGAAACTTCAACCCCTACACCACCACTAAGAAGGCCCCAACCGTTTCATTTATTCTTAATTGATTCTCCAACTCAACAGCCAAAGTACAAGTTCTCTGTGAGGGGTAGAAGAGAAAAAAATGGGTGTGGGGAGTTCAATGTCAAGGTAAATGGGTACGCAGAGAGGAGGTGGGGTATGAAGAGTGAAAGTGCTGTGAGGATGGATGGGGAAGGGGAAGCTCTCAGCCCACAGAAACTGTCGTGAACACAGCTAGCACCTGTGACCCAGATTGCTTCTCAAGTGAAAAGAAGACTCAGTGACATGCCCCTATAATATTTAAAGCAGAGTTCAGCCAAGGAGCAGTCAAAAATAGCAGCCTATTTTAATAGACACTAGCCTTTGGCCATTTACACTCAACCTGTTTCTGCAAAGCTCCTCAGCCATGCTTTAGAAATTAAAAATATATTTTGGATGGTTTGTATGAGTAGGTTGCTGAAGACTAGGTATGCTTTTATATCAAAAGTTTATTTTTAAAATTATTTTGTACTGGGCTTTGGCCATCTTGGCTCAACTCTAGTTTGAATTTATCCAATCTCTCTTTCATCTGTTCATACTAGTATATACAGTTTAGACTTCATCTCTACAGTTGTTTACATTTCCCGGCCTTTCTTTTTTGGTTCACTTGACTCTTTCTCGGGTGCTATCTACCTTCTCAGTTGCTTCAGTCTAAGGTTTTCTTTGGAGTGACTTTGTCTTAGACAATTCACACATGGTTATCATTAGAAAATTCAAGTCATATAGTAAAGAACAGAGATGGTAGCAAAAATAGAAATTATGTAGTCATCATCATGAAGGGACTGTCATTAACTGAGATGCCTTCCAGAACATTTCACATGTACACAAGAAGTCCTGACTGAAATCAATAGCTTCACATTAACAAATGTTATTACTCTACTGGCTGGCTTTATGGAAGATGTGGCTAATACAACATTTAAAAAAAGTCTAAATGAAATTGTGGAACATAGGGGTAATTATTTCTTCTTCTCAATAAGTAGTTCCTAAAAACCTCCTTAGTAGTTCAGGAAATGTATGAGATGAATGTTCAGGAGTTTGGAATCACTCTAATTTTTAACAAAAGCACACTTCAGCCCACCTCTCCTTTGTGGCTCTCCCAATTTTTGTGGGTATGTTATTGTGTTGTTCTTTAGTTTCCTTTGTCAGAAATTGTATCATTTCTTCCCTTTTTTTAAAGCTTTATTTCTTTATGCACACAAGAGCTGGGATGCAGGTCAGAGGTATGAAAAGGGTGAGAGATTGGGGAGCAGAACAGGCAGATTGACTGAACTACACTGCTGAGGGGAGCAGTGGGTGAGACAGGAGAGGTCTGTTGTGCCATATGGGTAAGCTCCCTGGGCGGGAATTGAACTTGTGCTGCAGAGGCTGAGGATTGCTTCACAGTGTGCATCTTAACCCCTGGAGCCACCAGGGAGGCCCCTGTATTATTTCATTTTATTTTATTTGTATAGAAGACCTAGGGTGAAGGCTAGTGGTGTAGGGGTGAGAAGATTCACCAGAGACAGAGTGGGGAGCAGAACAGGCAGATCTGCTGAAATACACTGCTGTACTGGGTGAGATGGGAGAGGTCTGCTGTGCCCCTATGGGTCAGCTCCCTGGCTGATAAAACTCAGTCCTTAGTGGTGACGGTGCTGAGACTTAATCCCTAGGCATCAGGAAGTCCTAGAATCATTTCTTTCTATAACATGTTCCCTCCCATTTCTTCTGCTTCAATGTGGATGGCAACTTACTGCTCCCCACTGTTTTACTCTCCACAGTTCCTCCTTGTCCATGTATTTAACATTGATTTATCACCAGTTTGGATGTCTTGGTTTGAATGTATGTACACTTTTCCAGGAAGTATCGAGGTGTCAGATTCCTTGAGTTTCTGAAAACCTAATTGCCTTTCTCTCTTTTCACCCACAAGTGCAAAACTTTATGATCTTCTTGAATTCCAGCTGCTCAGGATAGTGTTGCGTCTTTCAAATCTCTTCTCCCCCCAGAAATCCTATCTTAAGACCTTAGTACTGTAGTTTGCGATGATTACCCTCTGGAGCCTGAACTTTTGAAATATTTTAGTGATGTCTAGAAACCAAAGTCATTTCGGTTTTTAGCTTGCTGTCTTTTTTTTTTTTTTTCCTAAAACAGTCTGGAAGGACTTACTTGTGAAATGTTAAAAAAAAAAGTCATTCTTTTTGATTAATGATGCATTGTGCTTAACCTTGTCATTTGCTGTACTTAAAAATGCCTCCATTTCAAGCACATAAGACCCCTTTTCAAGACTGTATAATAAAGAGCCCATAGAATGGAGGCACTGTGATAAATTTAACGTGATTGAAGGGCATTTGTGGGGCTTTAAACATTTACCATTAGTTACACTGCAATAGTAATAAGCTTTGCATTGCTACCATTTTTTTTTTAAAGATTTATTTACTTATGCATATAAGAGCTGGGGTGTAGGCAGAGATGCGGGGGGTGGTGAGCAGATTCACCAGAACAAAGTGGGAGCAGAACAGGCGGATTGACAGAAACAAACTGCCGAGGGGAGCAGCGGGCAAGACAGGAAAGGTCTGCTGAGCCATGTGGGTCACCTCCCTGAGCGGGGATCAAACTTGTGCTGCAGTGGCTGCCATTAGCTTCATAGTGCTGAGACAACCCCTTGCACCACCAAGGAAGCTTTGTATTGTTTTCATTTTTCAGTATATTTGTTAGATCAATTCCTAGAAATGAAGTTTTAGTGCCACAGAGCCTACACAGTTTTTTTTAACATGAAATAATTGAAAAACACAAAGGAGGATGTGTAATTTTATGAAATAAAGAGTGATAGCAAATACTTATTTAACTAACACCTGGTTTTAGAAGCAGAATGTTTCTAGCACTTTTGTAACTCCTGGGGTGCCCCTCAGTAGTGATCTCCCTCCCCCTCTCCTGGGGATAGACAGTATTCTGAATTTTTTTTGTTGTTGTTCTGCTTTTTGTTATAGAGAAAATATTATAAAGATTATAAGTATCATAGGATAAGTATGAATTCCTAAATAGCACTTCATATTTTATATTGGATATGAAATATATTGTTTTCATTCCTCTGCAGCTTGCTCTTATCACTCATCTGTAAGGTTTTCCAGAAGCATCCTTGCTGACAGGTCTGGCTCCTTAGTTTGTGCTGCTCACACTGTTGCACAGTGATGCTGTGCTCTCCTGCTTGAGGATCTTGGGAGGGGTGTTCCTGGTGTTTGGCTATTACATGCCTTTCCCCCTGAGCAGTCTTGCATGCCTGACCTTGGGCACATGTGCAAGAGTTTCTCTGGACTCTAATTCAAGGGCTAGAATTACCAGGCCATATGGTATGCCAGTCTTCAGTTTATTTAGGTAAGTTTTTCATTGAAATATATAAACAGAAAGGGCACAGGTCAAAATGCATAGGTTGATGAATGACACCCCATTTCGTTTGCTCCCATGAAGAAATAGAACTCTTACCAGGCTCCTTCTTCCCCTTTTTCTGCTGTTTGCTTGCTCTTAACTTTATGTAAGTGGAATCACACTGTGTGTATTCTCGTGGATCTGGCTGCTTTAACCCACCATTATGTTTGTGAGGTGCATTCATGTTGTAGTGGGTATTTGTGGTTTGTTCTTCTTGCTGTGTTGTGAGCCATGGACTGTACTGTGGTTTATTTCTCCAGCCCACTTGGACTTCTGGGTTGTTCTTAATTCTTTTTATCTTAAGCAATGCTCCCTGTAATATATGTTATTACTTCATTGATGCGCATGTACAAGTTTCTAGAATATATAGCAAGCCTGGAATTGCAGGTACAGGCCCTCCCTGGTGGTGCAACAGGTTAGGACACAACACTGTAAGCGAGCCCGCAGCAGCTTCAGTGTGAGTTCGATCCCCAAACCCAGAGGTGACCCACATGGTGTGGCAGACCTCTTCTGACCTGCCCGCTGCTCCCCTCAGCAGTGTACTTCGTTGATCTGCCTGTTCTGCTCCACACTCTGTCTCTGATGAAGCCTCTCTCCACCCTGCACATCTGGCTTATACCCCAGTTCTGTACGCTTAAATAAATAAATCTTTAAAAAAAAAAAAAAAGAATTGCAGGTATATAGTATGTACGTCTTCAGTTATACAAGGTGGTGCCAAGTTAAACTGCACTACATTTTTTGCAGTTTCTCTCCAGAATCATTATATTCCTTTAGATTTCCACCTGGGACATCCTAAATTGTCTTCCTCACAGCCTCCATGTTTTATCACACTTTTTTCTTTGCCAGGGTAATAGGTGAAAGGGATGTCTTCATGAAGGTGAATTGACACTTACGGCCATATTTGATGCATAAACCTAATTAACACTTGGTTTTCTTTCACAGCTTGAGACCTCAGATCACTGTTCCCTGCCCGAAGACCTGGTGAGTATTTCTGCGTGTTCTGAGCTAGAGCTCTTAGTGCCTTTGAATGATAAATATGATAAGTAAATGCAACTGTTTTATGATCTTCTCTTTTTATTTGGTTGCTAGTTGAAGACGTTAATCTAAAATGATAACAACATGACAAAAAATGGTGGAGTTGGTACTGCTTTGTACATTAAAAGGAAAGAAAAAGGAAGAAACTGCTGTGATCCTTTCTGGAAGGATCAGACTTGTTAGACTTGTTTCTCACAGATGACTTTGTGACCCCGGCTCCATTCAAACCCTTCCAAGACACGAACAAAAGGCCATAATTTGAAGGTCTTGGGCCAAATTCTTGGGTGTCCTGACCTCCATGTCTCTGCAGCATCCTGTCCTGGCCCAAATATCACAGGAGAGCAGATCTCTAGCAGACTAAGTCTTACCTTGTTTGATTTGTCATTATGAAACTTCACTGGCTCACTGGCAAACTCCATGTGCCAGCTAACCAACGGCTGTTTCCGAAAATGATCTTTATTTTCATTCTAAATTGTAATTCTAAAATCCTGAGATTTGGAGTCATTCTCAATTTCTCTGACTGACAAGTTTTCATTTGCGATTTTTCTAGAAGTCTGAAACTCAAAGGCTCTGGGTCAATTTTTTTAGGTAAATTAAATGGAGAATTGACAACTAGCAAATCTACTTGAAATTCTATGATAGAAAAGGAAGTGTGAGATGCACACACTCACACTTACCTAAATATATATATATCATATGTCATTTGTCCCCTCAGATATTGCCATCATAAAGCAGTGGCCAAACACTTTCTGAATTTAAGATAGAAAGTATGAGATTATAGAAAGAGGAAACAGTAATAGTGAATACAGTTGTAATCGCTTGTGAATCGGTCCCCTATTACTGAAACCACTTTGCTCCTAGAAGACTCAGCTTTAGGACAGAGCTGTGTTTATGGCATGCAGGAGCCATAAAGAGTCCCTGAGTGTTCACCTGCCAGGTGCTGCCATTCAGTTAAGAAAGTCTCAGGGCCCTCCCTGGTGGTGCAGTGGGTTAAAGCGCAGCACTATGAAGCTATCCACAGCCTGGGCAGCATGAGTTCACTCCCCAGCTGGGGAGCTGACCTGCATGGTGTGACAGATCTCTCCAGTCCCACCCACTGCCCCCCTCAGCAGTGGATTTCAGTGGCCCCACCTGTTTTGACCCTTCCACACTCTGTCTCTGGTGAATCCTGTCATACACTCCTTCCCCAACACACACATCTCTGGCCTGTACTCCAGTTCTTTGTGCATAAATAAATAAGTCTTTAAAAAAGAAAGAAAGTTTCAGAGGCAGGTTTGTAGCCTAATCACCTACCTTACCCCCTTTTCTGTCTCTGGATTCTAGAGTCTCTTTAAATGCATTTTCTAAATGTTGAGCCTACTACCTGTCTTAGGGCTGCTGTAAAATATGACCACAAACTGGGGAGCTTAAAACAACAGAAGTGTATTGTCTCACAGTTCCAGGGCTTTAAGCCTTGAGTCAGGGGTTAGCAGGGCGTTGCTCTCCCACATCCCACTCAAGGCTCTAGGGGAGGGTCTTTCTGGCCTCTTGCAGCTTCTGGTATAACCAGCGATCTTTCACCTTCCTGGGCTCGGCTTGGAGTCTCGTCACTCCAGTCTCTCTGTCCATCCTCACAAGACCCTCTGCCTATGTCTCTCCACATCTCTCAGTCTCTACCACTCTGCTTAAAAGGACACCACACCTGCTCCCCTATATTTATTGCTGCTTTATTTACAATAGGAAAGACATGGAATCAACCCAAATGCCCAAAAGTAGATGACTGGATGAAAAAGATGTGGTGCATGTACACAATGGAATATTACTCAGCAATCAAAAAAGATGAATGCATGCCTTTTGCAGCAACAAGGATGGAGCTGGAAGGGATCATGCTTAGTGAAATAAGCCAGAAAGAAAAGGGAAAATACCAGATGGTTTCACTCATAGCAGGAGAGTAAAGGACCGGGGGGGGGGGGAGGATTATAATAATAATAATGAACAACTGTATACCAGAGACATTTTGTGGGGGTGGAGTGGGGAATGGGATCAAAGATGGGGCAGGGGGGCAGGAAGTGCACTGGACTATGGTGATGGCACATGGGTGATTTGGCGATGGGAAGCCCACGGGGATTACAACTGAGATGGAAAAAGACACAAAATGATGTAAAAATAAGCTATTATTAAAAAAAAAAAGGACCCCAGTAATAATGAATTTAGGGCATTCTCCTCTTAACAAATCAACATCTGCAGGCAGCTCCCCAGCCAGCCTGTGACTATGCAGGTGTCTCTCTTTGGCTTTCCCTTCCCAATAAACCTGTCCTTTTAAAATATAAAACTAAAATAAACAAACAAAATTAACACCTGCAAAGATAAGACCTCATTAACCCAAGTGAGGTCACATTTGGGGAGACGCTGTAGAACCTATTGGGGAGATGCTGTAGAACCTGCCGGAGTGGGTATTTTATTCCATAAGGTGACAGATGGACCGGGTCAAGTATGATTTCTTCAGCGGTCAGTCACAGGTGAGCGTGAGGCTTGGGGGAGCATATGGTCAGAATGGTAGCCAGATGTCCAGCAAGAGCGAGTGTGCTCATGCACCAGAGAAGTACGAGTTACTAGTCAGTCTTCAAGTGCCCCATCTCCAGCCAGTGGCAGATAAAGCAGGAGGGCTGGGCTCTTTTGGACCCTTGCTCAATTTACAGTATCATGTACGACCCAAGAAGTACAAGAGAATGAATGGGAAGAGCTGGGGTTCTTGCTTTTTAAGGCACCCCGATTTGCTCTCTCTATGGCCCACTTGGTGTGTCAGCTTCTTCCATTCAGTTTATTCTCTCCTGGTTGGCTGGGTCAGGGAGTCCCGGGGCAGGCTGGTAGTGTCCAGGAAGGGACTGGGCTGTCCCTTTTTGGTATAGTCTAAACTGGTCAAGGGGAGCCAAACCCCGAAAAAGTCTTGAGGACAGAGATTTGCAGACTGCTCAGGGTGGCAGGAAAGACACGAATGTGTGCAGCAGCTGAGAGTCCATTATAAGGGGTGCTGGGGCTAGTGGTAAGCTGAAAGATGCATGCCTCAGATTTGGATCAGCAAAATCTAAAGGCCCAGCAAAATGCATCTCCAAGCTGGATTTGCCCTGTGGCTCTGGAGTTCACAGGCTCTGCTG